TCACCTTCAAGGCGCTCGCGATCGTCCATGTACTCCTTGTTTTGCTGCTTCCGCAACTCTGTGGCGGTGTCGAGGGCCGCTTCGTTCTTGGCCACTTCGTCCTCCGCCTTCTCGATCTCTCCCTTGAGGCGCTCGCTTTGGGCGGCGAGTTCCTCAACACGTGCCTTCAGCTNNCGAGCCGTGGTCTCTGCCTCTGCAGCGGCCTTGGTCTTGGCATCCGTGTTCTCGTGACACCAACACTTGAACTTGTCATAAGTCTCCTCGTCGGCTTTGCTTTCGCTTTCCACAGTCTCCTAACAATGCTGGCATTCAATTTTTCCCTACAGTGCCACACATTCCTTCACACAAGCTGGATGATTTTGCAGTTTGCACCCCACCTGCATGGTTTTAAGCAGCTTTACCACCTTTGTCGTGGGGCGCTCTGCATCGTCAGACTGCAAGGTGATGGCCGCAGCTAGCCCCAGCCATGCCAGACAAAGCAGTCCAACCTTCATTGTGCTCGGAACGGTAGCCCGAAGCTTGTAAGTAAAGCCTGGGCCGAAAAGAATGATTTCAACCACACTTGGATGATGACGGACCGGACTCCTATACCTTGGAAAGCACAGGATGAAGGAATCGATAACTTGTTCGACGTCAAGAAACTTGCGACGTGACACTTTCCATCTGACCGTTGCATTTCGCTTGAAGAGAACAAAAATATGGTGCAATGCTGTGGCGTCGGTGTGGTGCCGGTGTAGGATGCTTGCAGATTCAACAATGACAGTCGGCTGTGTAACTATTTGATGGAAGTCGTGTACGAAAACTCACCGTTACTTGCAGCCAAACGAGGAAATCGCCGTAACATGCCCCGGACCAATAACTTTCAATTCCTACCATATCCACCGAGTTGACAAGTGTGAACCAACAGCATGTTTCCATACACCATATCGCTCCCACGACGAAGTTCAAAACGCCACACCATTGCCATTGCCCATGTCTCACAAAAGTTTGTGAGCGAATTTTCACAACGTTTGTTCTACTCTTTTCGCAATGCCTTTCACAAAACTGCCACCAAACCTGCCAAGGCAACCCCAAAAGCTCGCAAAGTGTCCAGCCGCTCCAACCATAGCCACTCGGCCCTAGGTTAATTGTACGACACCATCAACACAACACACATGTTGACTTGTAATTTGTGGAAGATTCCCGGCTAAGAAATTTTGCCGGCACGAAGATGTAAAGTCCACGAATTTTGCATACATCTTCCAAAGTGGTAATGTCCATCTATACTGTTCACAAGTTGCTTTGAACAGACCGTGTAAATAAAGGGTGGGTCGTTTGGGACACCTTAGAGCTAAATGACGCCGAGTGTTTCGTCACCATATGAATCATTTCAACGATAGAAGATAGGCATCTATGAAGTTTGCCGAGTTTACAAAAAAAGAAAATCAACAAACCTGGAACTGCTTCAAAAGAACACGTTGAAAATCCAGATCCCGATGCAAAGTGGCCGCGGTACCTTGTGGAGATACAGACGCTCCTTTTAGCAGGGAGATTTTTTCCTGGATACAACACGAACACAATGACGCGCAGAATGTCTGGAGGTCGGATTCCTGGCCGGAATTTGTGCAAGACACCAATTCGAAACCCTTTGCCCGAGCTAACCACAACTAGAAGACACGTGGCCCGAAAG